CCGTAGGGCACAAGTTTAACTTTTCAATGGTCATGCCCGTAAGCTAAATTTCTCCTTTCCTGCATTATTCCAGCGATTGCAATGTTTTACGATTCCTTCGGACATGCTTTATATATACTCCACTGCAATGTTCTGTCACCTGCATTGTGTGGTTGGTTATTTCACGTTTACGTCGAAAGTAGGTGGTGTGTAGTAACCACATTGATGTTGTTGTAGTTCATTTACATCGCACTAGAGCTGCGCAATGGGTTATTGGCAACGGTCTGGAAAACATCCCTGAGGATGAGCCGAAGACATGCCATCACAATTCCGATCCTCTGCAGAAGGGAAGGCACCCCCGCTTCGGTAGCCCGACGACCTGAACGCGAAGTCGAGGACTTTACGGTAGAACAGTTCAACGAGGACCAATACCGCACACCCTCGATCCCTACGCAGACTGATCCAAGTGGTCACCCACCCGCACACTGACCGTAGCCAGTGATGCTTGACTTCGGTGATCTACTGAGAACCGTGTCTTAACGACCAGTCCACTGCGGGATGTGGCCACATTGAAGTGACTGGACAATGTATATCATTAACTTACCATTTATGCAATTCAGAGTGTTTTAATTTTTAGCATTTGATTAAATAAGAGTATGCATTTCTTTACAAACCAATCTTCAAAAATGTTATCCCTCATTTTTTCATCTTCTTTATAATTAATTCATGTATTACAATAAGTTTGATTAAACAAATTCTTTTAGAAAGTTTTTTTTTATTTTAGGGAATTCTGAGCAAAATACGACAAACTGTAACGGAAAACGTAAGTCATTTTTTTTTCTTTTGGCATATTAAATATTTTCCAACTTATTAACTTTTATTCGTACAACAATATAAAAAAACATACAGTTACCTTTAACTGAAGTCCTGGATTACATACGTTTCTAAGTCTCTAACCTTAACCGTGAATCAATTCACAGATGAAGCTGAACATATGATAATAGCGCAAAAAACATTATGATATGAATCATGAAGATAAGGTTTTTATGTTGCGTGTAACATGAGTTTTTATGCTTCATTTGAGATGATAATAATTTTTATTAGTGTCTTGTAAAAAATAGATATTTTTCGTGTTTCACGTAATAATGAGGAACATATTTGCGAGTTTCACGTAACTTGAAAAACGTCCTTGTGTCTTTCACGTAACATGAGAAACATTCTTGTAACACGAAAAACATTTTTGTGTTCTTTGGAACTTGGAAAAAACTCTGTTTCGTGCAGCATGATTGAAGAAAGTTAAAACATTCAATTCCACGCTAATTCGATCAATTTATTGTGCATGTCGAAACACGTGATTTATGTTAATCTGATTCTCAATTTTTCTTCCAGCTGGAGAGAATTGCTCTTTTAATGATGCAATAAACCGTAAGTTTCTGATTTTTTTTTAAATCGATTTCTCCCTTTTCGTTTAACTTTTCAGCTTATGAGGTTGCGATTAATCGATAGATTTTATGAACGTACGAGTTTAAATTTTTGGATATAATCTCAAACATGTCCATTTTAAAAGATTGAACACAGTGTTTATTAATTCAGCTTAAACAGGTCTAACTCATCTTTTCACTAAAATTCGATTTCTTTAAAAATAAGTATGCATCATCCAAACTGCTGCACAACTCTTTTTATTCCCATGACCTCTTTAATTTAGACACACCTTGCCTTATGAAATTGTTTTAAACCACAATAGTTTAATGAAATACCCTCACTGATTTACCCATAATTATTTATAGAAGTAACTTATGTGCCGCTGTGAAAGCAAAGTGGTTAGAGAATCGAATTCCGGTCCGGGGTTCGATCCTCAGGTGCGCTAAGATCCACCGAGTACATACGATATACGTGCTCGTAAAATCTATGGAATCTAAAGTTCTGTAATCAGTAGCTTAACATTACTACGAAGTTTATTCATCCCCTAACGTAAACCCTTATTTAGCCCAATTTATAAAATGAAACTATTATTTTTCATACATACGGAATGGCGCTATGAATGTGTTTTGATTGCAAAACAATGGAGGTATTACTTTCTAATACAATGGCTAGAAGGATTTGGAGAAAATTTCCTTTCCCTTCAAACAAATCTGCATCTAAATTGAGGAAGAAGCCTCACGGAACAAAGGGTGCTGCCATCTATACGTGGTATTCTGAAATATGACGTACTTTCATCCTTGCGGTGCTCTCTTCTCAAACAGAAGGACCACCTTTTTGATTTAATTCGCAAAAGGCAAATGACTGATGAGCTTGACTTGTCCGAGTATCCTTAGAAAGAACAATTTGTGTATGAGATCTCTTTTAAAATGCTGTATTTACTAATAAAATAAAATCATTGCTTTTCAGGACATCCACGGGAAGCTGAGTATCGAAGCGTTGGCGATGAAGGTATATCAACTTTATATGTAAATTGTACCCTAAATAGTTGAAATTCATTCTTTCAGTATTTCTACTAAAAGTAAAAACGTGAGCCTCCCACGAGCATCTGAAACTCCGTGTTCGTTCATTAGTAAATACAGGCATGAATTTAAAGTTAAATTTATATTCGTAATGTAGTTTTCTGTTACGAATCTTCTTAACTACATGCACAACATTAAAAAAACGAATCGCACATGAAATCGATTTCTAGGTATAGAATAAAACACGATTGGTGTCAAAGCAAAAGAGGTACTAGCTTCAAGATTTTGGAAAACTCAATGTATATCTGGGAAAAAATAAAGCATCGTATCAAAGACGCAGTAAATCAATAAAACTGCAAATTAATGAATCAAAGAAATTATAAATGTAAGAATTGATTAATCAATGAGTAAGCGAAACAACAAGTCTTGGTGTCAACGAATCAATAAATCAGTAAACGAGTAGATTAATGAAATATCGAGTGCACTTTATAATTAAATCAGCAACAGAGTGAATTAATGAATAAGGGATTCTTTGACTTGTTAATTTTCTCTTTCATTAATTCCCAGCTTAGCTGACTCACTTACAATCTGATTCGTTGGTTTATTAATTTCATGACATGTTTGCCGCTGATGCGTCGTTTTGCTAATTTATTACATCTCTGATTCCATTATTATTCAGATTCATGATTTAATGGTCGGTTCTTTTCTTGCTTTACTTATTTATTGATTATTTGATTTGTCTTTTTTTTTAATTAATAAATTATGGATTTGCTTATTCATTTATTTACTCATACACTGATTCATTGATCTGATGATTGATTCACTATATATTCATGAATCATGGTTGAGATCTACCACAGTAAAGTTAGGGTTTAGGCCTTCAAACCCCGGTTTATTTGTCTGACGAAATAGAACGTAATTTAAATTTTAAATTTTCTCCCCAAAAGGTCTATCCATCTCAGCTTGAGCCTACCTCTAGATCAATTTTCCAAGAGATCGAGAAAAAAATATCATGTAATGGTATGCCTTTTATTCGAATTGGATAGAAATCACATCGTAAAAATGATATGAATCCGTAAAAAATAATTGCATTTTCTTGCACTTGGCCCTGTACCAGCCATAATAGGTTCTCACTAAATGGCACAAGCTTTAATGTAGAAAAAATGGCCATATAAGTACACAACTGATGAACCCTCCATCCCAGTACTTGGTCGCAGCTAGTGTACCTTCTGAGGTTGAGCTTGAGATTTTAAATTCTTGAGCGTAAATTTCAGCTTTGGCGACTAGCGTCATTTCAACATTGGCGACATTTTTCAAAATTGCGCCAAGTGTGTGCTTGAATTTCACCAAAATTTTAAAAAGAATTACATTTTTAAAAATAACCTGAAATTTTAATTAAACAATCAATACACTGTATTTAGACAAGCATTTCTTCTTTAAATGAAGTAACTTTTAAATATGTTTATTTCACGCCAATTTTTTTAAACCATTTTATTCCCTGATTCTTTTAGCGTGTTGAAAATAATCTTTATTTTTTCATTATTAAATCTAGTTTTGAAATTTAAAAAAAAAAATATATTAAAATGCGTTCTAATAAATTCCCTTTACTTTTTTAGAAAGAGACAATCTGAAAGACGAAATTGTCTCTAATTTAGATGATGATTATAATGATGGAAACCAAGACCTTCATAAAGTTAATGGGAGAAGTGATTATAATAATTTTACTGAGGATGGGAAAAATACATACGAGTCCGATGAATATGACGACTCGGATGAAAATTCACTATCAAATGAAGATGAAGAACATGATATAGTTCGACGACGAGGTATGCATTAACCTCATACAATATATTCCTATAAATATTGTTTTACAATATTTACATGATGCAAAATAAATTTTAGTGAAAGTCCTATAAATAAAATGCACTGAAATACTTATAAATTAAGTTTTATTTCATTATCATAGTTGGCCAGACAGCCCAATGTGGGCCAATGCCTTCCTCTGTAGAATTCTCCATAACGACTTTTGATTTCCAATTCTTTTCATTAATTGTAGGAATATTAGACTTCACCTAGTCAGCCCATCTCAATTGCGGTCTTCCCCGCTTTCTTGTTCCAGTGGGTCTAAAAAACAGTATTTTTTATTTTTCTATTGTATTGTCATCACTCATTCGGATCGCGTGGGCCCTCCAATTCATTCTGTTTATTTTTATGTATTTAATAATATCGGATTGTCTATGAATCTTGTACAGTTCAAAGTTAAATCTCTTTCTCCAGTTATTGTTCTCATTTACACCATTACAAGTATATTCCGCAAAATCTTTTTCTCAAATATTGCGATACAGTTTTCCTCCAGTTTTGTCATTGTCCAAGCTCTAGAAGCGTATGTCAAGACTGGACCAACAAGAGTTTTATTTTACAGATAAAAAAAAGACTGCAGAACATATTCTTCTACAATAGCGTAAGTAGGACAATAACGCAGATAGCAAATCAATTTCTTAATGTGTACCATACATCGAAAAAGGCGTGTCCTAGTCGAAATGGGCGTTACTTTCAAGGTATGCGAGTTTACATCAAGTCCGGGTCACCAATGTGGGAAAATTAGTTATCGACAAAGTCAGCCTTCATCATTCAAGAGGTATCTCAAGATAAAATCTAGTTAACACGTCTTATATACTAGTGAATTGATGTTTAATAATCGTAGTGGTAGTACGCACCTTCTCTTCGAGAGCCTGTTGGTTTTGTATTCAAGTTTTTAAGCTAGTGTAATCTAGATGCATTCTGATGACAAGACATGACATTTTACGTCTTTAAGTATAACATCTGATTCCTTATATGAGCGGTGTAGCTATAAATTAGATCTTCTTAACTATACACTTTTTTTACATACTACCTAATAAACACTGGTGTTAAATATGCAGACTTGGTCAATTATCTCTAGATCTACTGGACTGATTTAGAGAATTTGCAGACTTGGTCGATTATCTCTAAATCTACTGGACCGATTTAAAGAATTTGCAGACTTGGTCGATTATCTCTAGATCTACTGGACCGATTTAGAGAATCGGCAGATTTGGTAGATTATCTCTAGAACTACTGGACTGATTTAGAGAATTTGCAGACTTGGTCGATTATCTCTAGATCTACTGGACCGATTTAGAGAGTTTGCAGACTTGGTCGATTATCTCTAGATCTACTGGACCGATTTAGAGAATTTGCAGACTTGGTCGATTATCTCTAGATCTACTGGACCGATTTAAAGAATTTGCAGACTTGGTCAATTATCTCTAGATCCACGGGACCGATTTAGAGAATTTGCAGACTTGGTCGATTATCTCTAGATCCACTGGACCGATTTAGAGAGTTTGCAGACTTGGTCGATTATCTCTAGATCTACTCGACCGATTTAGAGAGTTTGCAGACTTGGTCGATTATCTCTAGATCTACTCGACCTATTTAGAGAATTTGCCGATTATCTCTAGAACTACAGGACCGATTTTAATGAAATTTGATATGAGCATACATTGATACAATGCAAAACAAATAATCATTCAACAATGCACACGCATGATCGTGTGTAACAGTCGTTGGAGTCGGAATATAAGAAATTGCCAACTGACAATTCAGGTCAATTACCACAGGAAAGGATAAACTAACTTATTTCAAGTATTAAATCACGCTGCAAGGCCTGTATACCTGTAAGAGGGGATCATAATCCCTATTAAACCATTTATTTTTTGTTTATTCTGTAACTGCTGTGTCATACCTTCCGACTCAAACGAGTGTTACTCACTATCATTATCGTGTATTACAATTGTTGAATGGTTATTTGTTTTGTTATGTATCAATGTATTGACATATCAAATTTTATTAAAATCGGTCCAGTAGTTCTTGAGATAATCGACCAAGCTAACAAATTCTATTAATTTCTTACACCCAGTGTACATACATGTCGGTGCCTTTCTCTCACTGGCAATAATTTTGTGTTTGTGAGGTTGAAAACTATACACTTCATTCTCATAAAATATATTTTCTTAAATAAATTTGTTCAAATAGTCAAAGTAATTCCTTTATTTCAGGTTTTGAAATTGATTGCGAAGCTTCAGATAGAAGTAAGTTACGTTCGTTCTAATTATAAATTGAGAAGTACTAATTATTACTTTAAATAGTAAAATAATAATTAGTAATTTATAAATTGTGAACATAAATGGTAATTAGGATCACACAATGTGACTTAAATCACACAAATATGAAAACGCAATCATTGCTTATCTGTTGCACGAATACAGCAGTTTGAAACAACGACATCAAAATATTTTTTACCTATCCTTTAAAATACTGATCTAAAATGGGTGACATGTTTCCCCCCACTTATTATAAATATCAGTACAAAACAGCAGTACAAAGAACGCAAATGAAATGAAAAGCGAAAGAACAATCGAAGGTGAAGTAATACCATTGATGAGATTTGAGATATTGTGCCAGAGTGCTTCGAACATTTTTATTGACTAATTATCGGTCAAAATATTCATTCCTACCCTATGCATGAAGTAGACTATTCTGCTTTTCTATTCCACCAAAACCTGCCCTCAGAATACCAAAATTAAAAATAGTGGACGGTATGACGTGAAGGAGAGGCGTCAACCGAGGAAGTTCTTCCGCTACTAGTGGTAGAGAAGCCATTAGCAAACTAAATAACTGTAGTGTATTCGCAACAGGGTTTGGTTAAATCTGGAACGACAGAAAGTCCTCCCACTAGTTGCGGTTTGAAAGTTGGAGGTTTGATATACCAGCTCAGGAGCTGCCCAAGACGTCTGTCCAAAGTCAAGATTAAGTGGGTATAGTGGCAATTTCCCTAAGAAACAGGGCTATGTGTCCTGTCAGGGTGCGGAGGTGCATGTATCTCTATTTCGAACGACTTTATCACCATCATAATATTGCCATACAGTGCCGCCGTTAAATCAAAATGCAACAGCCTGTACAGCAGCAAACAGCAGCATGCAAGTTAAATTTGGATACTTTTTCTGAAAAATTCAAATCTGCAATAAAAAAAGAACGGCTTTTGTATAAGATCTTGAAGTTGTCCCCAATCTACCTCCGGGTGATAGGTTTAGGGGGGGTCGAGTTTGATACCAATGAATTTAAAAATATTACACACGCGTATTTTTAGATTTTGATCCGATCCGATGTGCATTTCTTGAGATATTTGCCCGCCCGTTTACGTACATATTTGACACTCTGTTTATGAAAGAAAGTATTTTGGATACCTTTGGGTGAGGAAAAATTGGCAATTATTTGAATTTCGGGTAAAAAGGCACTGTTTTACTTCAAGGTAATAGAGGGAACAGAATGTACGAATGACACATTTATATTTTAGAATTAGAGCCTTGCATTGAAGACATCAAACCGGAAATAATTGAAAAATGCATGCCAGGTATGACGAACTTTAACTACACCAATCGTCTACCAGAAAATGAAGCAGCATATAAGTTGTAAGTCTAAATATTTTTTTAATATAAGTTGTATGTCTAAATATTTTTTTATAAGTAGTAAGTCTAGATAGTAAGTCTATAAAAGTTGTAAGTCTAAATATTTTTTATTTATAAAATGATATGCATATTCAATGCGTAGTCTCTTGAGTTTATAATACCCCAGCGAAGACAAATCCGCTGGTCCAGCATCACAAAATTGTTGGAAGCCAGCAGCTAAATCAAAGGGTCGGCGTACGCTTTCCTCCACTTTCACCGATGCAAAATTAGATTGATGGCCAACTGTCGGCCCAATTACTGCAGGGCCGTTTGCTGGTCAGCAGTATTTGCTGGCTAAAAAGCATAGCGAAAGAGATTAAACAACGCTTTTTGAGGTGCTACCTGCAGATCATCGTCAATAAAACTTTATAACAACTTCATAAAGTTATAAAGTATACTTTAAAACAAAAGTCAATTATTGGTCTCATTTTGGAATTTTTTCTTATTACTCTCAAGTATTAGTTTGCGACTCCCAATATTGATAGCGTTTTCTGTTAACAAGGATTCTGAAGTTATAAAGAAAACTTTACGTCTATCTTTAAAACTAAGATTACAGATTGATTATTTTTTGTTTTCAAAAAGATATTACTATTTTAGCCAAATTTTGTCCCAAAAAAATTCAAGTTAATTTGTTTTACAGTTTCTTTTTCGGCATTAAATAAAATAAATTCAACTAAAAGAAAACACTATTTTATTTCATGTTTCAAAACTCTTAAAATTTAAATGTTTAAAACAAATTTTAATCTATCTTTTATTTTAATTGAGGAATAAAAAAAAATTGTTTCCAAATTTAACTTCTGGACCAAAATTTTAACGAAACAATTTATAGAGTTCTCAAAATTTTTCCTAACCTGAATTTTGTTACCTAATGTAATTAGCAAAAATTAATTAATTAATTACTTTTAGATGCAGATTTCTTAAGCCCTGAATATTTAATTTTATCCCGAGAGAATTTAAAAAAGTTATTTAGGATATTTTCTTACACCATTTTTTATCGCAGCTTTCAGCTACACGATCATGGTACATTATTTCATATTTTTAATTAATAGAAAATGTCGCATCGATATTAAAACATTTAAATGTATATTCATCAAACTATCATAATTTATAAATGAGTTTGAAAAATATTGTTGAATGATTAAATAAATTAAATTTCTAACTTCTGATCTTTAATTTTTCGCAGTATTCGCGATCGCAACGCTCGAGTACGCCGTCTAGCGGGAGCCTGTAAATATCGGACATTAATTTATCACTTTTCATTTAGTTCCATCAAAGTCATTGACTGAATCAGACGCCATTTTTTAGCAGCAAATAAGAAACAAAATTTCCCTAAGGAAAAGGCCGAAGAACTTGAAAAAAATCTCCAGAATATTAGTAAATCTTTCAGGAACAGAACACGCCAAACATTTGAAGAAAAATTCCTCAATAATTTTTAATTTCTATTATCAACAAACTTGCAACTGATGACTTCCGATTTCGGATACTGTTACAGATGTGTGTATTAAGGTAAAATGCATTTCTTCTGTCTTCAATTCATTACGAATTAAAGTGAAGTCAACATTGCTTTCGTCATTCCAGTGAATAAATATGAATTCAGAACATACAGAATTGTAATAGTTATAGCATATTCTTCTTCGTTATAGAATAGTATATATTTCTGTATCCATATAATTCGGAAAACAACAATAAAAAATTATCCAAGTTACTTGAAATAGTGCCATTTGTGCTGATTCTTAATTAATTTAAATCGTTTTCTTGGTAAGTTTTTTTTAATTTTGAAAGAATAAGTTCAACTAGAATTCAGCTATTCTGTTTTTAGCTACATATTCAAATTCATATCAATTATAAAATTTTGCTGTGTAGTATGTTATCTAAAAGTAATGAAGGTATAAACTATGTATCTATTATTTGAGAATAAAGTTTTCAAACAAGGAACTTATCATTTTGGAATTCTCCGGGAATCATAAATCAGGTAAGTGCAATGATTTTTACAATAAAAAATTTGCTTGTAAATATTTTTTTTTCATTTGATGATGGTTCTCTACAGAATGGTTTTTTACGTCTGATTAAGAACTATAAGAATAATAAAAAAAGAAACAATATGAAAGTTTTTATTTCAATGTTAAGAATTCTTAAAATCGTTTTTTTTATCCTAAGAATTCTTTATTTTCCGTTTTTTAGTTTATAATTTTTTGATAAAAATTGTTCTCAAAATACTTTTTTTGAAAAATTAAATGGTATAACATTATGTGTTTATGTATACTTCTTGTATATTCCAATGTTTGAAGTAATATGATTCAGAAAAGTATGGAATAAAAATTCGGTACTTACGTATTAACGCCACCGCCGCTACAGATTTGGCGGTTTTTAAGTGCCGCCAATCTACACTTAAAATTTTTGCGACAATTCATAAAATAAAACACTTTATTTAAAATCAAAATAGTCAATCGGATTTCGGTGGAAAATGAGCCGATATAGAGTTTAGCATAGATTCAAAACAATCATATCGCCATATGAACTCTGATAAATAAGATTCCAAATGAAATAACATTTCCAAAACGTACGTTTACCAAGATAAAGTTTTATGTTGTGGGAATTGGTACATTTTCGTTTTTTCGGTAAAATATTTCCCTCCTGAAAAAATAAAATTGCATCTTGTTTTGTTTTTGGCAAATCCCAAAGACGAATTTTCGTAGCACTAAAAATGGCGACAAAAAAGAATTGTTTTTTTTTTTTTGTTTCGTCAGCATTCTTTATTTTACGTTTCTTAGTTTCTAAATAATGATTTTTATTGAAACTTGAAATTTTTTGATAAAAATTGTTGTCAAAAAACTTTGTTTACAAAATTAAATTTCATAAAATTATGAGGCTTATGTATACTTTTTGTTCATTTTAATTTTTGAACTAATATGATTCTTAAAACTATAGAATGTAAAGTTTAAATGGGCCTTTCATGTTATATCATTAAATTTAGTAATACTATTTCTCGGGCATTAGGTTTTAACTCTTATAAGAATATACATATTTTTTTCTGTTAATGTACAAATATTTTTCCGATGTGTTTTGGATATTCCTTCTCTAATAAAAAGAGATACCATTTTGTTTTCGGTTGTACAAGAAAGAAGATCAAGCATTTTTCTTTTTTAAATTTAATAAGCCACATTAAAGAAGGAACGTTGCAATGCTACACGCTACATTAACGACGTCTCCAGAGTAACTGAATGACGGTTCATATGGAAATCGCAGGTAAGCGTCTCATACAACAACGCCCCCTATAGTTCGTTGCGATCGCGAATTCTCCATTATGACATATTTGATTTATCCCACTGTTAAAGTGCAATTTTGTCATTTTAATTGATTTATCCCACCGTTAAAGTGCAATTTTGTAATTTTACTTGATTTATCCCACCGTTAAAGTGCAAATTTTGTCATTTTATTTGATTTATCTCACTGTTAAAGTGCAATTTTGTCATTTTATTTGATTTATCCCACTGTTTAAAGTGTAATCTTGTCATTTTTTTCAGGCAAAAATATAATTCAGAAATTTGTCTCAAGCAAATATTTCGAAAATGCAGCCAAGAAGCCAGATTTCGAATTAAGACAAAATTAAAAAATCTAATCGGTGTCAATTTGAACATACTACATAAAACAGAATGTAAGTAAAAATTAATTGCTTAAAATTTATTTAAGTTCTTACTACTCTTAATTTTTCCTTTGATTATTCACCCTAATAAATAATTATATTCCAGTAAGCACGTGATTTAGTAATGAATACGCAGTTTATAATAAGCGCACGCTCGCACGTTCAATATGGAAATGGTGTCTGAAAAGTTTTGATGCGCTCTTTTAAATGTTTTTCGTCAATTTTGAAAGATATCTATTAAAGAAATGACTAAATTTAAATTTTTGTGCATGCTATTTTAATCAATATCTATATCACTTAGGCCACTATATACCACCTGCTCGCTTCACTCTCCAACCCCCACTATTACTTATCTTTCATTTTGTTTCTTTCAAATTGTTGCATTAAAAGTATTATGTATAATTCTATTTTTAACAATATTTGCCTTATTTTATTTATAATATACTTATTTAAATCAAATTTTATCGTTTAATTCATGCTGAGTATTTGCATTTATTTTATAATTAGTTCAATAATTATATAGCAAAAAAGGATGTTTCTTCTGAAATATTAATACACAAAGTTTTTTTTTTAACAAAATTTTCTTTCTGTTATTATATAAGATACTTAAAAACTCTCCTACTCTTCTCTGTACTCTTCCCCCCTGTTTAAGAGAAATAGAGGGGATATAAGGGAGTGAATTGAATTTCTTCCCGACAGGCAAGTGTACCAAGCTTTATTTTTTTAACTGTACCAAGCTCATTAAAATTATTTCAATCTTTCAATTATTTCACCAATCTACAGGAATATTAAATGTTATTTTGAAATGCTACTTTTTTCTTTCAGTTAATGTTGATGACTGCGGCACACAAATTTCAAATACTCTGTTCGGAATCATTGAAGAATGTCTGAATGAATCCTTAGCATCGACAGAGCATGACATAGAGATGCACCGGCATTCTATCATTACAGAGTAAGATAATTAATAACATCTTAAATCTGATGCTCCGTGAAAAATCTGATCGAATTTTCGCAAGCACGTTACTGAAATACTATGACTGTAGCTCCATTACATATGCATACCCTCCAACATTTGAGGTTACTGCAAATTAGTCCTTCCCGCGGTAGTGCGTTGAAGCAAATTTTTTTTATAAAACTTTTATTAGTAAATGTGATGATGATCATCTTTATCTGACGTTTTATTATCTGACCTGTGTAAATTCTTTTCATGTAGGGGCAGATAATATATTTTTTAATTATAATATTTTCTATAAGATTAAATATTAAAAAATTTCTAAAACTACTGATTAAAATTTATAAAGGAAATATAAGATAAATTACAAAATTAGTCTAAAAGAAATCGATTATCAAACTAAAACAAAGCTCATCGAGTTTCTTATAATACTTATTATCGAAGGGTTGTCCTAGTAAAACTATAGACTAGGTTAATTACGTCTGAAATACAGTAACAATAGCAAAATCACTCAGGGTTTCAAAGAAAAGTAAGAGGAGTGCATGGCAGACCGATTTACCACCCCACATGATAGCATTTAAAGTAAATGTAACGTCGAACTAAGAAAGAAAAGTGATTTTCATCACCTTAGTCAAAGCGCTACACAGATGTAGAATCCTACTTATTCGATTACCTTTTATTATTTCATCAACAGCATGGGAGATTATTGCATCCATTTGCCTGATTCTTAGCTAACTCGAAATTGATGTCAAACACTTCACGCAAACTTTGGTGCCAATTATTCAGATTCGTTTATACCAGCCAGCATACCATTATTAAAAGCCAACATTCGACAATAAATGTCCACTTTACGCTCACGTTCTGCTACCAATAAATTTTACCACTGCGCATTGTCCTGTTCTGAGCGCATCCGTCCTAGAATAACTTTACATTAACTTTAAATGCTATCATGTAAGCTGGTATAGCTTTATTGTACTTATAAGGAGATTTGTACAAACAGAATGTTCCATAATTGCCACAATTAATAACTATAATCTTTATCTGAAATGAAGTTTTAAAAATTACTAACATTAGGGAAGCAAGAAAAAAATCAATAAACGTTATCAAAGCCTGACAAATCATAATTGATTAGGGCAAAATTACAAAAGCCAAAACATGTTTGATTGCTGGAGGAGACTGAAAACAAACAGCTATTAGAAACACCATGAAAAGCAATAATACTGGTTTTGATGGTTTTACTACCACCTTCCTCAATAAAGTTATATCTGCTCTGTTACATCTTAAAGTTATATTAAGTCCTATCTGCTCTGAATTATATTCTGTTGTAAGTTAAGATATAACAATTATTTCTACGGAGACAGCCTGTTTGCGTCTGGTGCATGCCAAGCTCCTAGCGCGATCATGTAATACAAATTAATAAAAATAAAAACAAATTCTCGCAATAAATACAAGCCTTTCTGATCGCATTTAAAGAAACTGATGAAAGAATAATAAATATTGTTTCTCGCAGACGATTTTTTTCCACCGTGAAACGAAAATAAAAATTCTTTATCGCGCTTTGGTCTAATTTTTTAAGGGCATGTTTACATAGGACGCGTCATTTATTGTGGTCCAATAAAATGCAATGCTCTTGCAACGTCATGTAGTTGTTTCTTTTTCAAGAATGAATGTTTTCCTTATTTATCGAAATAAGTCGTCAAGTCTAGGATTACTGCAAGTCTCTGAAACTATAACCTTTTTCTAATATTTCTATGATACACATCGTATAGCATGAATTAAATTCCTGTTTGACGTGTTTAACTTGAAAGGCTTTTATATTGTTTTGAAAGCTTATTTGTATAATTTGGTAACGAAAGAAAATGAAATTAAATGCAGTTGTGGATGATTGCTTAAGTTCTATACCGCAATGGTCTTTTCTTAAACTTGCAACGGAGAATAGTTAAAAAATTATGAGCGAAGAATCTACAACTTTAGTTTTTCCAACACAAAAAAAAAATTTCATGATTTTTTTCCATGCTATTTGAATCTCTAAAGATTCCTTTCTCGTAAAGATAAAACTTATAAGCAAACTTTTTAACAACCAACATGTCATACTTAATAAAACTGGGCATTGAATAAGAGCTTTAAAGACTAATAAGATTTCAACATCATGCTATCTGTGGTTTTCAAGATGTATCTTATTTAATTTTATTTTAGATTTCGGACATAAATAATCATAGAAAATGTTCTAACTGATATATAAGCAAATGACTGATATTTCTAGCAATAATCCTTAAAAATAATGAAATAAAAATTTATAATAAAAATGAAAAAACCTTACGGATTTAAAGATAGCAAATTTTTGAATTTTTTTAAAACCGAGCAATTTAGTTATTTTTGAAAAATTAAATATTGATTGTCAATTGAGTGCACGTGTAACGCAACCAAAATAACATTTATTATTTTCTGTTATTTAAAAAAAAATGCCCCAAGAATACTATGACACTTAAAAGAAAGTTCATCTGTTGTTTGCATTTACTTTCGTTGATTTTATTTATTGTATGTAAATTTGCTGATTGATATAAATTTTTGGCGCAAGAGCAATGTTTTGAAATGCGCCTAAAACCAGGCAAAAATCAGAATAACTAGATAAAATTTAAGGTAAATTGATTAAAATCAAATCAACTAGGTTTAAACTGAAGTAACTAGTTTGAAGTCAATTTTGGCCGTAAAGAAACCAATCTTTCGTATCTGATACTACTTTAAATTCTAAAAAAAACATTTTAAATTCCAGCATTTTGGAGCATATCTCAGAATGCATTGAGGATCACACGCAGTATGTCTGCATAATGAATCAACAAGAAGCATTTCACCATGCCATGAAGTCTCTAGTATTCATAGTAAGAGATTACGCTTTGAAACTTTTGGAAATTCTAAGTAAGTATTTACATGTGAATCTTTTGTACACATTTATATTAATCTTATTTACTCCTTTTGCAAAAAATAATTTTACAATCATGCAGGGCACAGATCAGAAGTAAAGAAAAACTACAGTGCAAGCAGACTTTGTTTCAGTATGCTCGACTACGACAAATTAGACTGTAAAAGTCAGTTTTATGTTTACGCAATGTGCGTCAGGAATGGAACAAAGAACGAGCAAGTGTCTGGGTAAGAAATCTAAGTCATAATCTTACACTGTAAGTAACGATTATCGCTACCTCGCCGCTTTGTAAACACACTGGGTTAGTATAGCTTGTCTAATGGCTATATCACACGAGAGAAAATATGTGCAAGTGTAAGTGTAACTGTAAGTGAAATTTCTCCAAAAATCGCTCGTGTGATATAGAAATTACGGTTGCACGAAATATCTGCAACCGTTCAGGCAATTTCTTTCATGAACCAATCAGATCGTTTGCNCCAAATATACCTGCCATCTTTCATTAGTGTATAGAATAATCTTAGAACTCTTAATCAAAATATCTGTCAAACTTAAAATAAGTTTAAAGGGGATACCTAAGGACTTAAATGATTTCAAATTAATGGTATTTAATCTCTCTTATTCTAATAATGTGTTGGTAAAATTTTATCATGAAAGTGATTTCTTTATTTTATTTCAGATATTTTGTATAATCCTGTAAGGTTTGTCTGGTGAAGAAGGAAAGAGATGCAATACTGTTTTTATGAAAGAAATTAAAAAATTAGAAATGAAAATGAATAATGTTCTAAATGTTTCACTTGACAATAAATGTTTTGTTTTTTAAATTGATTCTTGTATTATTTAAAATGCAAAACAAAACACGTAAAAGTCTGTAACAAAATAACATGATACATAAAAAGTATGTTCTTAAGAAAATATTGTTTTTTTTCATAGTTATAAAAAATTTTAATTTATATACTGTGTATTACAATAAATTTGTCCTAAAATAAATCCTATAATTTTTAATTAAATTATCTCACATCAATAAAGAATGTATATAATTTTACAATAATAAATTGTAAGTATGACATTGAAAATCGTTTTATATTTAAAAAACAATTTTACTAAGAAATTGGAAAAAATAATTTTTATAAAAAAGATATTCCTGATATGCAATGTGTAAATGAATAAAATTGATGATCCCTTAAAAACTAAACTAAACTCAGCGGCGCGACAGCCCACAGAGGGCCAAGGCCTTCTGTGCCCACCTCAGTTTTCTTGACCTTTGGGCTCTGGGATGCAGGAGCATTTGTTCCGGTTAGGTCAGCCATACGTGAAACCCCCAGTGTTTAGCTCCCAAGCATGCTTGGTACTCATTTATCGACCCACTGAAGGAATGAAAGGCTGAGTCAACCTTGCTCGGCCCGAGGATGGAACCAGGGACCTGTGGCGCGACAGCGCGAAGAGCTACAGCTCAGCCACCGGGCGTGATGATCCCTTAATGCAATGTAAATTAATTTGATGACAAAAAAATTCTGACCCATTGTAGTATAGACATTATTTATTATGT